GACTTGCTTAAAAATGTGATTTATAATTTTACATAAAAGAATATCGTTATGTAGTACATAAAGCTTAAAACGCAACGGTAGACTTACTCCTTTTCGGATTTACGAAATTTCATCCTCTTTCTGTATGAAACATAGCTTGTGTGCAATGACTCAAAGTTCGCCGATCCAATAAACGGGAGTGGTATATTTCGGTGAAGACAAATGCGCGCTGCAGGTTTCTCGTCACGATCGGATTGAAAGAACATTCATAGATACATAAAATAGTACATTCTTGTCGCATTTGAGACTAGAAATGTTCCTCCCCGCATCGAAGAGGCGAGTACGAACATCGTATCTCTGAATGCACTTGTGGACCAAAGAGTTCGCTCATGAAACTGTCCTGCCCGAATAACTCAAATAAAACGGGAAGAACTTCTATCCGTCATGAGCGAGGAACACCAGAAGGAAACGCGACGTACTTGAATGTGGAAATGCCCACTTTTAAAGTTGAAGTACGCCCCCGCAAGTGATATCTTTCTCTTGAACTCGTACCGAAATATGACCGCATTGTCGGAACGCGTTACATTAAGCTTCGAATCGGTGTATACATATTCATATCCACGTGATTTTCTTCCGCTATTTGTATACCATATATATAAAGCACGACATCATGTCAATGGTATACTTACTGGCACGGTAATGATAGCATGATAAGAAGTCGAGCTTTTCTTGGCAAGAGAAATTGTGATTATTTAAAGTAAAGTAAAGTAAAGTAAAGTACCAATATTTTTCTTATCACCAATCTTGTAGCGCAAAATTGTAAGAAAAATTATTATTACATTTGTAAACTAGTGATTTTTTAATATAAATTTGAATTTGTTAATTCAACCAGATTTTACGTAAAAATTTTCAGATTTATTCATTCGTATTTAAATAAGTACGAAGATAATATGTAATATTTAAATAAACTAAAATTGCAATAATTTTACATATAATTTAAAGCTCAGTATCTTTCATTTTTGCTGTATCTATATATTTCCTAATAAAGAAAAACTCTACTCTGCATCAACACCATGCATGTTGAAATCAAGCATCAAATAATAGCGAGAAATCCGAATATCTAATCAGATGATAAGGGTTATTACAAGACTGAATGAAATATCATGGTCGATGAATCGTGATGTAATCGAATGCGAGGCATATGTGCAAACACAAAGCTAGATCACACGTCTAAATTAGAGCTTGCAACGCAATCATTCATGCGTGTCAGTAGCGCCGCGAAACGAGATTCCACCACGTGTGCGTCCAGTCAAGTAATTTAATAATAATTATTCCCTCATAGGACGGCCGCAAAGCGCGGCCCATCGCCACTGTCGGCCGACTCATAAATCACCGGTTAACGCCTAGCAGACTTAGTCGTTGATCGTAATTTAACCGGCAACACCAGTTAAAATGCTAACAACCGCTTTATGGAGCCGGTAAGAGACGGTGTTTGTGAGTGAATCTTAAATAAACCATCGGCAGGCTCTTATTTGCAAGGTAACCTTTCAATTTACGCCTCGATACCCATGAGTAAATATTTAAATATAAAGAATCTAACAAAAGGGAATCTTTAACAGAGACGGCAGGATTCGCAGAGCAATGTTTCAATGTTATTGCACAAATCGACGCGATCAAATTTAAATAACGCTTTGAAATAATCGGCTATCATAAGAAAATCATTGCAAATCCGCAATTTTTATTCGGCAAAGTATGTGCGGACAGTCTCTCGATCATATGATGAGACAAAGAAAAATCTTCGGGGAAACGATACAAGTTCCAACTTGCAGCGAAAGCGATTATATCGATCGTTATTATATGTGCACAAAGGGTTCAGTGAGCGGGAGCGTGTGGGTGTATATAATGTGTATAATCGAAGTACACTGAGTGCGTGCGAGTGGTAAATCCGCCGGAGAAGAACGTAATAGAGCCGCGAATATTCCGCCGCGCCGAGGACAAGAAGATTTCTCTTAATTAAATTGACGTAAATAACGTGATATCGCGTGAACGAGTGTACCGCGTTAATTGGAAGAGTAAATTTAATGTTTGTGAAGCTTCAATAATCGCTCTCGCGCGCACCGAACTTTGACTCGCACGAAAACATGCAATTTTACACTGAATCGCTCTAATTTTCTTTAGCTTTAACTAAAGACGATAATTGGCTCAAGCTTCTCACGAACTCCATGAAGCGCTAAACCGCGCTTCATAAATATCAGGCCACATATAAAGCAGCCTACTTTCGCCACAATCTAGATAAGTAAATACATGTCGCGTATTATTGGACACCTACATATATGTTCTCTCAGTCAGAGTAATAAAGCGTCATTTGATTTTATCCACCCTTTCTCCTTTATCGGACTATCTGGAGCGTAGCTCCGCAGTCCGTTTCTATTTGTGGACGTAATAATCTAACGTGGTCGCCAATCCGTGAAGTTCGCCCCTTCGCAAACGTGGAAACGAATCGCTCGGCGAGCTTTCTGCGTTATTCATTCGACGCCGGGGCAAAGACTCACGCTCGACCGCACCCGTAAATTATTTCCGGGCGAAACGAAGTAGTTGAAATACGTACAGCTCGCATGAAATCCCATTTTTCCTATCAAATACGTGGCCCACGCGATTCCCCGCGCGACTGCAAATAATCGTGGGTAACCGCTTCCCAAATACCTCTTTCGTGATAAGATACGCCGCGGCCTGATATCATCTCAATTAGCACCCGTCGTGTCGTGGTTGGTGAAGCGTTGGTAAAGCGTCCAAATTGAGAATTAAATATAGAAAAGAAATCCAGGGGATTCCTGATACGATCTACACGATTGCCCGCGTGTGTATCATTCTGTGTATACGTCACTCAAAGATATCAATAAAGTGTATTAAAGCATGCATGTGAGCGGGCGACGATGGTCTACAATTTCGAGGAAACGCCTGGAAATCTCTCAAAAACTTTAGAACGGTGCGAGTGTGTGAAAGACGTCAGGTCAACTGGCACGAATGCACTCTGGACTTTTGGGGACGACGGCACGTTTTCATTCGAGAACTCGAATCTTCAAAGCGGCATACCGTGAACGCTGTCGGAGTTTCGCGGCAATAAAGAGACCGGATGGTGAAAAGAGACGCGCCGCGCGAAGGGTAGAGAATGAAACATACATGCGCTCGAAAGAGGGCACGGAATTGTCCAAAGCTTTCCACCCGTGTACCAGCGGCTGCAAAGCGCGATTGCCCGCACAGAAAGAATTATCGGTGCCAGCTATCGACGGACAAAGGAAATCTAGCATACCCGAGTTTTTTTTCTTTTTTTCTTTCTCTCTCCTCTTTTTTCGCGACCATTTTCAATATCGCAGACGTAATAAAATACCAAAATAGATTACTGAATACGATAAAAGTGCGTATTCGCTCATATACGCGCCTCGCCTTAAATGAAAGTACAATACATCAATCATTCCGCTGCGCGGCAGACAAGTCTCGCCTTAAACGGCTGACACATAAATCTTCGCTTATCCTTTCAACCGCGTGTCAGTGTAAGCGGCGCATTTTCGCACGTGCATAAACCGCTCCCACCACTCGAATCGAGTGGCGGTAACAATGAAAGATACCGGGCTATCGCTCGCCCCGCCCCACACCGATATAAAAGCAACGTTCACGCGCGTCAGCGGCGATCCGGATCGTTAAAGTCTCGTCTTCTCGGCGAGACGAATGCGGTTCGCGGCGCGCCGCGGCGCCGGCGTCCTCGCGCCCAGGGATTATGGATGCGTTCCACTTCCGATAACGCGCGAAACGTAGAGGCGTTATGCTCTCTCGCCCTACGCCCGACTGCTCCCTTTTCCTAACCGTCCCCCCCCCCCCGCGACTTCCTCACCCCGTGCGGCACGTTCCGCGACCGCACACCTCTCGTCGAAGTTGGCAACAGCATCTGGAGCGTTAAGGGTGGATGAGCGATGTGCCGGTGTCTTGCGGCGTGATGGATCGTCCAATACCAGCCAATATGCAGTATTGCACGTGGAGTGGCAAACTGGTATCCATGCATCAAATCTGCGGGAGAGGAGTGGGCGAGCGACGGAACGACGTGGTGGGTAGAGGTAGAGTGGGAAGCGGGGAAGTTTCGTCTGCTCTACACGACACGCTACTGTACACACTATCGTATGCTCGGTCGCGTCCGTCCGTCGTGGTCAGAGAGAACGGTTCTTGCCGATCCGCCCTTCGTGGTACGACCATAAGGTGCATCTCCGACTGCACGAGATACCTATATACGGTTACGTATGTACACACGTACGTATGTATATATAAGTACATGTATATATGTGATCCTCGATGTCCTCGGTAAGAACGGCGAGGATGCCGGCGCTGCGAGCTACGTGGTCGTGCCATGTGTTTGGAACGTCAGGCAACCAGACAACGTTTCTCGGGACAAGTTCTTGCTGTCTTATTTTATCCGAGCGAATACGACCGTGCACCGAATCGTATTCACTTTTCCGTTTAACGGATTGTCCTAAGGGGCCAGTTTGACGAAGATTTCCAAAATAAAAAAGAATAAAAAGAAAATTTGAACGAAAACTTGACAAATACCTAAAATGACGGCGCAAACAACAAATTGTCGAATATATATATATATTATATATATTATATATAATATATATATATATATTCGATAATTGGCCGTCATTTTAGGTATTTGTCACGTTTTCGTTCAAATTTTATTTTTATTTTTTTTTATTTTGGAAATCCTCGTCAAACTGGCCCCTTAGAACAATCCGTTAAATGGAACATATATATATATAATATATATAATTATCAAAAATATTCTAGTCGAATCGATAATTTTGCGTGACAGTAATTCGATTTTCGCGTCGCCAAATACTTTTAACCATCGCCGTAGCTGTGTTAAATCCGCCACGACGACTAATCAAGTCATTCATCCGATGCAATTTGCGTAATTTACACGTAAATAACTCAATAAAAAGAGTTCGATAAACACAGAAATATTCACTCACCGAAACGTCAGAGTGGTGAAAGGTCGATAACTCTTGTGACTGTTGATGCTCTCCATCGGCGTGCCCCAGAAATCGTCGTTGAGTACGTCGCTCCACGATGCCTTGCCGATCACATCCCTGTTCCTCACAACCGCCGGTATGTCGTCGTGTACGAAGTCGCAGTCGAGCGCGTTGAGGTAGCAGCCGATCGCGACGAGCGCGACCGCCGCGTAGATGCACCATCCTGGCGGCTCGTTCGTCTCATTGTCAGTCCCGCTGCATCCGCCGCGTCCGTTTCTCTTAACTGATGTCTGGCAGAAGCAAGAACCGTTATTCCGCCGTCTCATGTTGCCAGAGGCTGCTCGATACCACGCACGAAATAAGCTCTTACGTTCGTTAAACGCGCGAACGCGAAGCGCGATCACTGTCATGTAGTCGCGAGTCGTTTTCGAGCGCCGTTGTTATCTACCGCGCGATTGATTGCACTGCCCGGTGTGACTGCACTGCCCGTGACCGGAGTCAGCTGACTCTCGCATTTCTACGGCGAGTGCGCTCGAGGGGAGCGAGTTCACGATCGAAAAGCAAACCCGCGTCCTTTCAGCGTTCTAAAAGTCGCTATTCAAGCACCACTTCGATCGTGAAACCCCGGCATTCCACGATACGTATTTCATCGATAACTCCGCGAATCACGTAAAGGTCGGTACTTAAGTTTCCGGGAAAAGCCTTCGATTGAGTCAAGGAGACATGATTACTGCGTAACGCTCACGACGTATACGACGCGACGTATCGCGGTGCTAGCCTCGCGTTGAACTTCGCCATTTAGATCGACGACGGTACTCCGAAACATTTGTCCGTCTCCGTGCAGCGAGTTTGATAAATAACTGCCGGGGTTCATTATTTACCGACCCGGTTGGCCCGGTCGTGTTCTCGATGATGGAAAGCAGCGAATTTCGCGCGCGAACCACTCATTCCACGATAATAGCCCTCGCGTGGACTCTCCCCAGGAATTGTCACCGTGGGAGTTCAGATAGGTTTCTTTTTATGTAACAGCTCGTTACCAACCCGGTATCGGGTCGAGCCGCACTCCGCCCGCAAATCACTGATCCGCGCAGATCATTACGGATTCTCCCGACGGATCAAACCCGTGGTATACTTATAGCTCACTCGTGTTATGTCACCGTAGACATAAGTGACATTAACGCGACATCACGGTGGATTGCGGCTTCGTTCTCGTAGCGGGCTGTGTATCCGATATTTCGCATATCCGATCTACTCAGACAAATTTTCTCGCAATTTCGCAGATATGCGAATACACGACATTATATATATCTCTGTCTTTCAATTCTCGAGTCTCATATTATGCATGTGTCCTTATCCAATTCTTAACATATCGATTACATCGCGCCCCGTTCAAGAAATACTGCAAGCGCAGCGATACATCGCAATTATATTTGGCCAAAGAGAAATGACCTCGTAATTATCGTCCCAGATTGGCGAGTCTCTTGAGCGCCTCAAGAGTGCGAAGTCCTTCATTCACCAATGAGTCTTCACTTTTTTCGCTGCATCAAGAGAATCTCGCAGAATCATGGAGAACGTGCTGCGACACGCCGAGAGGATGGCTGTCTGACCTAGATACTCCCCGTAGCTCCCCAGGTAGCTCCTCCGTCGCCACAATTTTACTGTGCATATAGATCTATACAAGCGACTCGTATCTCGCCAGGGGCACGACTCGAAATCCTCCGCGGCGGCACCCTCATCCCCCCGCGAAACCCCTGCTTCTCTCGCTACCACTTCTCTACCTCTTTTCTCGATGCCGCTACCACTTGGCCGCTTCTTCCCGTTTTTTCCTCGTCTTCCTACTCTCGCAGGCCGTTGAATCCAATCCGTGAACAAATATCGCGATAATTTTTCCCTGCTGATTCTGTCCAGTTCGCGAACCAGAATCTTTAATCAAACTTCCGACTGGCGTGCTTTTCGCTACTCGCTTCCAACAATGAATAATACTCGAGTGAAAAGTTGGACGTTCTCGGCGTTCGAGCGGTAACCAGTGAACATTCTTCAACGTTCGTCTTGTTCATCCGCGCCGATTTACACCGCGTAACTTGAATGGAAAAAAGGAGGAATTCCGCACAGTAAAAAATTATGGACGAACTCTAGTTATAATATATATGTATCCGATAACTCTGAATTTATCGAAATACTTTATTTGTGCTACATAAAATATAGCATATTTTTACATCGTCTTTACTTTTTTGATTGTTCGATTTTTCTAACTTTTACCGCATATAATTTGTATCAAAGATTACTTGAATGATTTCCTCACTGATCGGTAATATCATTGAAGGTGATAACGACGCTCTGCGTTTTCAGACGGAATAAACGCAGAAGCACCTCCCGATCTGTCATTTATTATCGGCCACCGCGATCGGCACGACGTAGAGATCGGTACGCACCGCACAGCGTCATCGAAACGTCACAGATCGCGACAGCGACGTTGGCGCCGAGCTCGAGCGGGTCGTCGCGACGACGATAAGCGCGAGACTAAGGGACGACGGCATCCGCCCGGTTATATACCCGACGCACTCTGACCCGCAAAGCCGCGCCCGCGCACGAGCCACCCCCGGAGGTTTCCCTCCTGCCTGCATCCTCCCGCGCGCGCCTTCTTCCCTTTCTTCTTCTTTCTCATTCGCCGGCACCTGCTCAACCTTGGACTCTACTGACGTCACATTGTTTACCTATGGTTTATCTGCCAAAATATTATCTCGGAAACGCGTCAAGTGGCCAAAGTGGAGAACATTACGTAAATATCTGTGACTTCGGTAATATAATTTTCGATAATGATACAATTCAATAATTTCCAGCAAATTAATAGCTATTATAAACTGATTTAAAACACGAAAATATTGATACAATTATTAAAAAATAAAATTGTTAATTTTATTAGAGAAAAAATAATTATTAATTTTATTGAAAGAATTGAGATATTTTAACCGAAAATTTTAATTACTCCATTTTAGATTTTTATCTGTGACACCACCTTATCGCTCATTTTAATTTGAACTTTCAATCGTTAACAAGATTTTCATTGTATTTACATCGTTACTACTTTATTCTTTAATTAAGAGCACCAGCATCAAATCTTAAGAACACGATAACAAAGAGACATTGAGCAATTATATATTACTGTATTTCCCTTCAAATATCTCGAATCTAACAATACAATGGGCAATTCACGGCTCGCGAATCAGTGAACGTAATGACGATACAAGCTCGTTACTGACGATGATGATACGATAACGAGCCCGTAGTGGCGAAGTGATGTTGTATTATATGATTGAATTTGACTACATCGCTAGCACAGCTCTGAGCACACATCAAATTGAAATTACATCGTATCAAGACACAGTTGTGATGAGATTTTAATTATTACCTAAATTAATTATCAGAAGTAAAACAATTAAAGCATAAGCGTAATAATTTACGTGTAAATATGTAACGCTACCTCAGTCACTGCATATACAATTATTATATAAAGAAGTAAATATGATTCCGTTCAATAATATTTATATTAAAAAATTATATTTACGATTAGAAATAGAAATAAAAATTAATAAAACTAATATTAGAACAGTAATCTAAGTTATGATTTTTTCGATAAAATTAAGCAGAAATACCTTTAAACTACAAAACAGGAAAAATCATCACAAAGCTGCAGAGATAGATCAGAATTTTTCATGTCGCTAATAAGCGAGTTCCGCGAAAAGTTATAATTGAGCGAGATGCCGGCATTCTTCTAGCAAGGAACTTAATATTAGCGACATGGCTGTCGCTCAAGTAATTCACATAATGTACCCGGAGCTCGCAATTAATGATCATTTAGTTCGATGGCGCCTAGTAACTGTCAGTATCACAAGTGATTCACAAGCGAACGGAACTTCGAACCGCCAGTGCGCTGAACTTTCGTATGAATCCACTTTCAAACTACAGAAGAATTTTTAATTACGACCCTATAGAACGAAAAACGCCACTTACGTGTCAGGTTAATGGTTCTCCGCGCCCAAGGCGTCGGAGGAACGCGAACTCACACGGACTCCTAACGAGTTTTTACCGTACGCAAAAAGAACCGAGATTATTTGTGATAATTATTTTATTCGCGCTAGCCTTTATTTTTCTCACTTTCAATATGTAATATGTCTATAATGTCTGAAATTTTCCATTTTTTTAAATGGAACTGTTTTTAAACCGAGCACGTTAAGCTACACGGATTTGGTTGAAAATGATGCATTGATTCTTCACAAGTTACGCACTACTTATCACGCAACGGTGGGGAACATTTTAAAGAATCGATATGACCGCTCCAGCGACGAGATTTCGCAGTGGCGCGCGAGAAGGGTGCGCTTAAACCATTTCTTTGCGGACTTTGCGTTGAAGTATAAATTGGTTTTATGCTCCGCCGGGGAAGTTTCTAACTGGAAACTTATAGTCGCGGAACAAACGTCTGTAGACGGCACTGAAATATAGTGTTCAGACGCTCGTTGCGTCTGAATATTCAGTGACTTCGCTCGCTCGCTGCCTATGTCTCGCGCGCTGCCTACTTCGTTATACCCGGTTAACGCTTGCCACCGTCTGACCGTATTTAATAATGCACCTAACCAACGACGGCGCCGCCGACGTAGATGCCCCACGAGAGCAAGATCCGCCAACGACCGTGAAAAGGTGTTGGTGTCGTATAAGTAAGGGCAGCCGCAATTCGAACGCGGCTCTCCCTTCATGGGCTCTGCCCGGCGGCAAAGAGACAAAGAGCACGCGAAACAACTTGGTCTGAAATAAAGATAAAGGCAGAGCTCGTCCCGCGTTTGCCTTGCTTTCCGCGTGCGCTTTCATTTATTAAACGCCGTAGCGTATCGAGCAATTGCCCACCGCCCCTCTCCTTCTCTCTGCCTCTGCCGGAGATATAAAGATCAACCAATAGCGAGCGACGAACGGACGCTTCGTATTCTCATACAGTAGTTTCGACGAAAACAGCTCAGTCTGATTGTTCGACGGTTCTTTATTCAAATTTTGCGTTAAAGTATTCATCGTTCCTCGCCGTCTTGTTATCGCATTACACGTCTCGCTTCTGGCCCATTTTATTCCCGAAATCGCAAAATCGCGAGTCGGTTATCTTCATCTTGTGAAATATTTTGACTCTCGGCGCGAGATAGCATCTCGAACTCGAAAGCGGAATGTTTCCGCGAGAAATCACATGTTAGGCCGTGCGGATACCTCGCTTATACGTGCCGTATCGATCGGCGGGAAATCTTAAACGCGAACCGACGCGAGGAATAATGCCTATAATTCGTACGTAATACGAGACACGCGAACACGAAAGAGCGTGCGGACGTAGCGAGCACGAGTTCGCGCGATTCTCCGACAATTACGGATAAGAGCTCGGTCCGTCCGAAAGCTCGGTTCGTTGATACATTAGCTAAAATCGGCGGTCGGTCATTTGCGACGTCTCTCACGGGATGCCGGGAACTACAAAATCCGTTAACACCGCTAATGAATTCAGACGGTGCGGTTTCATCAAAACGTCTCCCGCCGCGCCGGACGATCGCCCATGAGATTTCGCAGAAGACAGAGAGACAGTTTCGCCGATCACAATAGAAACTCCGCGAACAATCAAAGGTGGTGGTGGACATTCGGGTGGTTAGAGAATGACGTGCACGGGAGAGGAACGTATTTAATTAATCCACTCAAGCAACGGCTATAGAATATAGCGCCAGCAACCGCGGAGAGTCCAGGAGAGTCGAGCACGTAGTATCGTGTGCGAGCTCACGCGTGTGCGTGTATAGCGAATTGTCGAATTTGCCGCGAAACTCACCGGATTCGGTCCGATGTCTATTCTGTGCGGAACGACACCGTCCGCAATTTCTGATAACGTCTCATTCTCGCGAGCCGGGAGCAGCATTGACGAGAGATTCTGGATGAGCGAGCAGCCGAAATCCGGACAAAATTCGCCACCCTCGCGCGCTTCGAGAGAACACCCTCTTTACGATCCCTCGCTCCCTTTCCCCCCACGCGTCCCGACGGTAGTCCACTATAGGCGAGATCGCGAGCTTACGAGAGAAGGGCGTAGACGTTCCCGGGCTACAACTGTTCGAAGGAATCTCGCCGACGAGCCAAGCCGAGGTAGAACGTAATCGGGATCTTGCCCGCCGCCACCCGACACCCTTCACGGTACACGAGAAACTTGGAATGATTTCGAGCGTAGAGTTTCGGGCTCTGCCCTGCTCCCCTCGCGGATGCCACCCGAGTGACAAGAGAGAGCTCTTACACAGTACGTGGAAATATTACCTAACATTTCGAGTTATCGCGCCGCGAGCTTAGTAATTATGTCCTCTCAGAGAATACCGCGGATAGTTCAGATTCTGTCACATACTTTGACTTAATGAAAGTTTTTCTCCAAATCTCGCACTTTGTCAGTGACAGAAATAAACACATAAAATCTGCATATTTTATGATATATTTTAGATTGCTTATATGTCGGAAATGTCATAATACAGTTTCCACTGATATTCGATATTTTCGACAGCGCTGTATCTATCGATTGGTTATCAAAGAACAATCTACGATGTAACTTACAAATGAAAGGCAGACAGACGAATTTGGAAAGAAGACCAGATGGATGTAACGAGGAGAGGGATCTTCGCGTCAGCTGAAATTCTCGCGGAACATGTTCATGTCGGAAGCCGACGAAGGAACACACGCGAACAAGCGAGTACGATTTTAATTACGAGCTTAATTCGGCCTGATTCGGCGAGGTGAACATCGGAAAGGAGTTACGCGAGATTAGCTGCGAAATCGAAAAAACGCGTTCTACTTTTCCAGCATGTTCGAATAATACGTAGTCGCTGTTAGTCTCGCGAGATCACATTTTCGTTTCGCAGCGAGCGTAGATCTGTGCGTCGAGTTCTTTTTTTTGCGCCCGAGAACCGTCTACACGGCACGGCACGGTCGATCAATATAATCGCATCGGTAAACGGATCGGACGCGAAGTACCGATCGCGTTCGGACGGCTTTTGGCGGCGGAGCTTACGAGGTGGCTTACGCGCGCGCAAACGGCACTCCGTTTGCCGGTGATTTCGGCTTCTCGAGAGCTGACCAAACAAGGATTTCACGCCGAATTCGAAGTAATAAATTCACGGTTTCCTTGTGATTGACTTGGCATACATCGGTCCGCGAAGCTGTAGACGACCGCCGCAATCTCCGATCAGTAGCTTAGCAACTCCAGAAGATTTAACGGAGCCGTCATAGAGTACGCGATAACGGAAGCACAAGCTGGAAGATCGGTTCTGCGAGAAGGACCTTCTGGACGAGGACAGAGGTATGCTGGACCGGATTAAAGCTAGCCTCGCAGCGAACTTGTCGAATTACCTACGGCTAAGTTTGTTCTGAAATTTCGGATGCGATGGTCGAGATATAATAGCCGTTTGCGAACTGCGCCGATAATAACTCGGATGGAATGCGAGGCGC